ATAACAAACCGTGGTTTGATGAAGATTGCTTAAACATTTGCGAAAAACGAAAAGCCGCTAAATTAAAAGCTCTAAATAATCCTAGCGAAGACAATCTGGAATACTTCCGAACCTCAAGAACGAAACGACAAAATTGCTCAAAAATAAAAAAAGGGAGTATCTTAAAAATAAAATAATTGAAATAGAAACTAATAGAATCGAAAATAACGTAAGAGACATGTACAAAGGTATAAACAGATCATGTAAATATGTAGGGCCCGTAACGTCTGGAATTAGGGATGATAATAACAATATTCTGACCGATCCGGTTGACATATTGAATAAATTTAAGGACCACTTTGACAATATTTTAAATACGGGAAATTATGATCTGTGTCCTCCTTCTGAGTACCAGAGTGCTGAACCCTTGATAGAAGAACTGAGTAAAGAGGAAGTTGAATTAGCTATCGGAAAATTAAAATCTTATAAAGCAGCGGGAACCGACAATATTCCTACTGAACTAATTAAGGCATGCTGGGAAGCTGGAGTTTCTAAAATACATCGGTTGGTTAAAAAGATCTGGGTGAATGAGAAATTACCTGAAGAATGGAAAGAATATATTCTTATTCCGATTCACAAAAAGGGTCCGAGGACGGATTGTAATAACTATCGAGGAATTTCACTCCTTCCGGTATGTTATAAAATATTCACTTTAATCTTAACCAGTCGAATCACGGAATACGCCGAGGAAATTATCGGAGACTACCAATGCGGATTTAGACGGAATCGTTCGACTATTGATCAAATATTTTCTTTACGGCAAATATTAGAGAAAAAATTGGAGTACAACGGTATTGTTCACCAGCTGTATATAGATTTTAAAAAGGCTTACGATTCTATTGACCGCCAGAAGCTGTATAATATTCTAATCGAGCAGGGGATTCCTAAAAAATTAGTAAATCTAGTCAGGATGTGCTTGACGGAGACACTCAATAAAGTTAGAATCGGTAATAATCTGTCCGAAAAATTTGAGGTTCGTTCGGGTTTAAAACAGGGGGATTCCCTTTCGCCTGTCCTGTTCAATTTGGCATTAGAACATGCCATTAGGGAGGTAATGCGAACCGAGAAAGGGTTGGATCTGGGCGGGACAACATCCGTGCTGGGCTATGCTGATGATCTGGTACTGTTAAGCGAAGACGTTGAAACTATAAAACTAAATACGACAACGTTAATGAAAGCCGGTAAAGAACTAGGACTCGAAATAAACGTGGATAAAACAAAATATATGGTTAGCTGCAAAAATGGCGATACTACTGGTGATATCGATATAGATGGTAATATGTTTGAACAGGTAGATAAGTTTAGGTATCTAGGTTCTACGATAACTAGAAAAAAACGAAATTGAAGAAGAAATTAAGGTTAGACTGAAGGCGGGAAATGCTTGTTATTTCTCTGTGACAAAACTACTTAGTTCGCGCCTCTTGTCCCGAAACTTAAAAATTAGAATCTATAAAACAATTATCTTGCCTACAGTTCTCTATGGCTGTGAAACTTGGCCGCTTACATTAAGGGATGAGCAGCGTCTTAAGGTTTTTGAAAATAAATATTCGGACCGAAGAAGGATGAGTTAACCGGAGAGTTCAGACGGTTACACAACGCCGAATTGCGTGAACTGTATCCGAGTAATATAATTGAGATAATTTCATCGCGGCGAATCAAATGGACTTGTAAAGTTGTTGGACTTAGTAACGAGAGAATTCCTAAAAGGTTAATATTTGCTGTGCCGAATGGTAAGCATCCGAGGGGTAGACCGAAGCGAAGGTGGGAAGATTGCATTTAAGCCGATCTGAAGGGACTGGGTTTGGACGGCGAACGGTGGAGGGAGGTGTGTAATAAGCGATTGATGGTGTCGGCATCGAACCTTCGGGTTCGCTAAGCCTTTTATTATTATTATTATTATAAAAAGAAACATAAATACAGATGATACGTATTCACAGCTGTAAATATAAATAAGGCTGTATTCACCACTTTAAAAGTGAATACGGCTGTATTTACAGTTGCACAAGTGAATACGGCTGTATTCACATTTATTAAGATGAATACATGTAAATTTACCGAAGTGAATGGAAATATTTTCACACAACCTTATGAATGAATACTCTTATTTATTAAATAAATATTAATTTATTTGTTCCTTTAGATATTTTCCAAAATAAAACAAAAAAAAGTATGACAAACTTAAAATAAAGTTAAATAAAATAAATATATATATATATATGCCCGGATATATATACACATTCGCAAATGTTAAAAAAAATTAATAGTAACAAGTAAAATAATATGCTAATAAAGTACGGGGTATTTTTAAAACAAAATAAAAGTAACTATCATAAATTGTCTTTTGTTGTTTTTTAATCACTTTCTACAATTTATTTTTATTAAAAAATAAAAATGTAATACAATTTTTTATATTAATTAATATATTTGGAACTTTCTCTGGTAATGTTACATTTTTAAATGCTTAAACAAAATAGAAGTGTCTTCTTGTAAAAATTATTAATCATTTGATGGTTATGTCACTTATCAATTACACAGGACATTTTAAACATAAAACGAGAAATTAATTAAATTTATGTATTTCTTGTGAAATCACTTTTATATCAATATTCAACATGACTCATACAGAGAACATTAATTTTGGTAAAGAGCCGGTACTGTCTTGAAAATACTCACTAAAGTCAAAATCCTGATCCAGACTACAAGAGCCTGTGCTAAAGAAACAGACTCAGTTTCAATATAAATTTCATACATTGTTCTAAATGCAAAACTTAACACATATTACACCTTTATTACTCACTTTTACTTTATTAATTTACTGAACAGCAGGTCCGGAAAGGTCACTATCCAAAATTGACTGTCCTTGCCCCTTCCCTAGCTTCACCCCAAGGCCCCCAAGGCCTGCCGTGTGCCCGTATTTCCCCCTGGAATTTCCACAGTATCGTTCCGACTGTTGTGCCTACCCTGACCTTCATTGAAGTTATCTTTATTGGCATCAGCAACCCATAAGTAAACAGTGCACCGAAAGACCAAAGACAGATTTTCCATTCTGGTAGGGGGAAGGGAGGGACGATAGACACTCCCAAAAAAAAGGTTTCGGGAATTTAATATTACATACAAAAATTACAAGTGATAATTAACGTAACAAAATACATTGTAACATAATTAAAATAACATATAGTAAAACGAAGAATATAAGACTATATATAAAAATAAAATGATGTATATGGTACATGTCTTCTTTTTTTGTATGTATGATTGTATTTTAAAATATGTTAACAAAGCAACTGAATATCTTTCATAGTTTTATTTGTATTTAAACGTTTGAGTCAGTGAGATGAACTCATCACTTCATATTTGCTACCGAAAATGTGATAAAATCTTCATGTAAATACTAAAGAATGTCATTAATTAATCATAAAATCTTAGGATATGTTGCTGCATATAATTATCATTGAATATTAACTAAAATTTCTATAATTGGGTCATAGAGCGTATTAAAATACATATGTATATGTATATCTAAGCATTGGCTTAGTCATCTAGTCACCTTTTCCAATAGCCTTAATTGAATTTAGTTTACATAATTAGTACCCGCCTATGATCTTAAAATATAAATAATTATAATTTTATATTTAATAAAATTAAACGTTTATATATACATCATTTCGAGTGAGCAAATACCAACTTTTTAACATTATTCCAACATTTTTTTAAGAGATTTATTTAATAAACCCCTGACTTTCCAGAACTTTATTTTAAGTTTGTCATACTTTTTTTGTTTTATTTTGGAAAATATCTAAAGTAACAAATAAATTAATATTTATTTAATAAATAAGAGTATTCATTCATAAGGTTGAATATATTTCCATTTACTTCTGTAAATTTAAGCGTATTCATTTTAATAAACGTGAATACAGCCGTATTCACTTGTACAACTGTAAATACAGCCGTATTCACTTTTAAAGTAGTGAAAACGCCGTATTTATATTTACTGCTGTGAATACGTATCATCTATATTTATGTTTCTTTTTATGAATATAATTATGCCCATCTCTGCTAGTAACCACCTCATACAGGGAACGCGTTTTTCGGTTTTCTTCTAAATTCTAATTTCTTAAAAGAAATGAAAACAAAAAATGGGGAAAGAACTTTCAACTTGTAAAAAAAATTGTAGAAGTACGTATGAATGAGTGAAAGACAAAAGTGTGGGGGATCGGTTGAAAAATGTTTTGCTAATGCTCACGTCCCTCTCTCTTCTGCTACCCACTGGCAAACTTATCTTAGACGGACTCTGCCTGGAAACACTTAAAATGGGAAATCCTGTCCCATCCACTTTATTAACAGCTCCTTCTGATTACCATTTCTTTTGTTTGATGAATGCTGGCTGAACATCCATTCTTATAAAGGTACATAAAAAATGTATAAATTCTTGTATAGCCTCTAAAGATAAGTCATTTTTTGGACATCTAATTCATATACTGCCAGAAAGATGGGAAGAAATTGTGGTTAGACAGGTGATACTTTGAGTGATAGATTATTTACTACTTATTTTAAAGAAAACATTAACTTTATAAAAAAAAACAGCGAGGACTTATTCAAGCTTCTAATAAAATATAACTTTATTGGAAGGTCAGAAATTATTAAAAATATATCACTAGAAATAATTGCAAGAATAATGAAGATATTATGTTAAAGTCAATACATTTTTCCTACGACTAAAAGGAACAAAGCTGTAAAAATATTTTATTAGGAAGTTGCTATCTGAATCAATTTGTGGATGGATGTTTTATAAATTGAAAGTATTTTAGAGTTTCGCTATAATTTAGAGCGTAGTGCATTTCCTTTCTATTTTTTTTTTTATTTATCGTTTGTAGTGATCTTTATGCATTGTTTATAGTTTCTTTATTATTTAAATACTTTTATAATCGTACTTGCATTTAATATCCAATTTTGTTTAATAGATGAATTTACCTCCACCTGTACAACAGAGCAGTATTTTTGACATAGACAAACCAGTCAAAGTGAAGTCAAGATGGCGACGAACAAGTGAACTTGAAATGGGTGGTTCAAGCGGCTGTGGGCTAAACAGTGATGGTGAACAGAATACTACTTCAACATTTAGTAATCCAGAGTTGCCTCCGCTTGATCCAGAAGTGGAGGAACGATTGAAGCGCTTTGAAATAATCTCACACAACGTTTTCCTTACTCCAAGGTAAAAATTTTGTTCATGATATAATGACAGTAGTGTTTATTATAGTTATCAGATCATAGTAGTATCTTCATTAATAGTGATTCTTAAAATATACCAGAAGATATATTAATGCTCAAAATCTCTAAATTTGGTTTTTTATCTAATATAAATAAGGTTATGTCCTATTAAATGCCATGAATAGGATATTGTTGGATTCTGAATTTCATGGAGCTTAAGCAAATCATAATCTCTGTTTTTACTCTTGTATAAAACATTATTAAAATCAATTTATAAAGCGTCATTCTACTAAGATTCTGAACTCAGGCTGTTGCAAGTTTGCAGATCGAGATGGGATATATTAGGTTTTTGAGTTAAGTATTGCGTGCTGTGTGTTAAAACTCTTAAAAAATAATGTTAACAAGCTTACACTGACACTGAGTGGGTTTCGCTATGCAATCCGTGCCAAGCACAGGCGGATCTACGGGGAGGGGGGAGCTTTCGGGCTGAAGCCCCTTCAAAACTAAATCCTGGATCCGCTAATGGTGCCAAGTACCCGCAAGCCTCAAGCCCACAAACCTGTCACCCCAACTGATTAGCTGTTTCATCCTCAGTGTGACAGAATCTGCAGGAAGGAGACTTGCCAGTTTGAGGCAAAACTAGGTTAGTAGAAGACATTTTAAAATCATTTGATGAGTTTTGTATTCCTAAAGTAAATCTGGCTACGGAGTGCTATAAATTCAATAAGATAAAACATTCTTCTGGACAAACATTTGACAATTACTTAACTGAGCTAAAAAGTCAAGCACTCAACTGCAATTTTGTGTGCTCTAAAGCCTATTGTAAAACTTCATTCCCGGATAGGATGTTAATTGAGCTCATAGTGCGTAAACATAATGACCCAGAAGTAAAAAAACATTGATAAAGGAGACCAAAACACCACTATCTTTGCAGGTGGCGCAAATTTGTTGAGCAACAGAAATAATTTAATCAGCAAGGAAATGGCTGGAGATGGTATGCAAGGTGATGTTAACTATACTAACATGGTTAATAAAAACAAACATTTTACATCCAGATGTACTTCGATTGATTAAGAGACTGAATATAAACGTAAAAAATGCTGTACCACTCATGGACCTAGAGATTGCCCAGCATTTGGGAAAAAATGTTTTTTTATGTAGGAGTTCAGGTCATTTTAAAATCGGGTGTATATCACAAAAAAAGAGAAATGGAGTTCATGAGGTTGAAGAAGACTCATTGTCCAAGTCATTGTTTGATTGTAATGTTAATACTGATATGAATACTATTATGTCAGACTTATGGAAGGAATATATTTATATTAATAATCTACCCGTACTTCTTAAGCTAGATATGGCTAGTGATATTAATATTTTGCCCATTAAAATTTGGAATAAAATAGAATTTGATGGTAAATTGACTAAAACTTTAATGAAGGTTAAGTTGTTTGGAGGCTTTATCTCTAAACCTTTTTGAAAAACTATCCCATTCCATTGCATAAATATATAAAAATGGAACATTATAGCATCCCTACCCAAGAAGAACTAACTGCTAAGGGCAGAGCAGGGTTCCATTAGATACCTCTAGATAAGAATTCGAGTAGTTTATGTACTATGAATACTTCGTTTGGTCGATATCGATTTCTAAGAGTGCCTTACGGTTTGTCTAATATGCCGGAGATATTTTAAAGGGAAAATACAAAAATATTTGGAGGCATAGAGTGAGTGCAAATAATGTTCAATGACATAATAGTTTCGGGCCGAACAGAAATTGAACAGGCTAAAAGTTTGGAAGAGGTCATAAAAAGGGACAGTCCAACATTAAATTTAATAGCAAGAAACTCCAATTTAAATTAAATGAAGTTAAATATTTGGGACTAGTATTCGGAGCAGATGGATTCAAGCCGGATCCTCTTAAGGTAAGAGCCATTTCTAATATCAAAGAATGTCAGTCTCCAAAGGAAATTCAAAGATTTTTAGGTGCGATAAATTTTTTGAACAAATTTATTCTGGCCTATTCACGAGTCATCGCCCCTCTTAGAGAATCATTGAAAAAGAGTGCTCAGTGACAATGGTCTGATTCATAGAAGCAAGCTTTCTCCATTATAAAATCTTTAGTTTGTAATGCGCCTACTCTCAAACTGTTTGATCCGTCACTTAAAATAGAGATCCAATGTGATGCCAGCAAGGATGAACTTGGACGCTGTGTACTCCAAAACGGGCAACCAGTCGTATTTGCATCGAGAAGTCTTAATGAGTCAGAAAAGAATTACAGTCAGATAGAGAAGGAGATGCTTAGCTTATGCTTCTCAGTTAATAGATTTCACCACTTTATTTATGGTCATAATAACATTGAGATTTTCACGGATCATAAACCGCTGTTAGAAGTGCTCAATAAGGAGCTGTATAAAAATTCTTCAAGACTCCAAAGAATACAAATAAAGCTGTTAAAATATAAATTTTTATTATCCTATATACCAAGCTCCAAAATTTATATAGAGGACATGCTATCAAGAGTCATTCTCGAAGAAGAGAATGACTTTTCTGGAAGATGTTGACTTTTCTCAGGTGGTTCATGCCATTACCCTAGAAGAATTGTTGCCAGTGCCATCAGAGGATATAAAAATCTTGCAAGAAGCCATCAGGAAGGATTTCAGTAGACTTCGAAATTATATCAGGAATGCTTGGGAAGGAGTTCATTAAATGTTTTTGGAACATGAAATAAAGGGTTTTTTATGGGCTCTGGGACGATCTTTCAGAAAATAAAGGAATTTTATGTTATTATGAGAGAATTATACTGCCGAGTCTCTGATGTCAGTTCGTAAGCCAAATCCATTCTAAAGCTCACCTTGGAATAAACAAAACCGTTTCCTGCATCAAGAGCCTTAAGTATAGGCCAAATATGTCCGAATACATTACTAACTTCATAAATTCATATTCCACGTGTCAAAAAAATAAAAAATGTTGAGCAACAAAATTAATTCAAATTGTGTGATTTCGAATAGATTGATCAGCCAAGTATTTTTAATATTAACATTAAAAAAGTTTAAAATGGTATAAATCTATTTTTTTATTATCTGTCTTTGACTATATTTCTAATTTAGTCTTTTATTAATTGCTTTTACTATTTATTTATTGTCTAATCTTTTTCTGCTTATGTTATAATTGTTGTACTTATGCAAATATATTATTTATTGTTTTCAGATCCAGAAGTAAAGAGGCTAAAAGGATGATTTGTGATTGTTCTTTAACAAAAGAGGAAATCGCTAAAGGGGAAATGGGATGTGGCGAGGACTGTCTGAATCGGCTTTTAATGATTGAATGGTAATTTATATCATTTTAGATAGGAATTAATATTTGTTTAGTTTTGTTCAACTTGAAAATGAAAATGCTACTTTTCAAACCTTTAAAAGTAACTTAAAGTTTAAACCTAATTTTATCCTTTAAAATATTTGTGGGTATTACCACTTTATTATGTTATACTAAATAATTCTAGTCCATTATTAATTTAAATAAATTTATATGTATTTTAGTGGTTCAAGGTGTATTTTGGGTAGTCAATGTTCCAACAAAAGGTTTCAGAATTGTCAGTACACCAAATGTCAAGTGATAAAAACAGCAAAAAAAGGACTTGGACTCATAACTACCGCTAACGTTGTGGCGTAAGTAAATCATTTTTTCTTCTTTCAGTTCCTATGTTTTAAGGAAGATAAAAGTGTAAAATGAATTGTTAATTATTTTGTTAAATAATGGTCTTACTGTTCTGCAATTAAAAAAAAAAGTTATTACTGAACGAATTGAAGTATTTGATAAATAGGTCAATTCAAATGTTTCAAATTGAAATTTTTTTTCCCTTTTGATTTACTGGTTTTTGTATGATTTTATCTGACAGATCTAGGAATCAGGTGTTTCCCCTGTACTCTCTACTCAGGTCAAGATTTATTAGCTTCTCACAGCTTTCCTATACACAACATACACATATGATCTATTAGTTTGGCCAGTTTATTGTAACAATTGTAGATATCACAACTTTTTTCACCAGACTTGCAAACAATGATGAATTATAGCATGAATTATAGCAACACATTTATTTTACTCTCAGATACGATTGCACTCCAGTTTAAAAATTAAAAACCTTTTCAACTCATTAAGACGATTCATTACTTAAGATTTATTTTTTGTAGAATGATGACCTAGAGTCCACACTATATATATGTGAACAGAAACAACTTTTAGACATCTGATATGATTAAAAGACTTTAGGCATATGTTTAAAAAAAATTGTCTGCTAAAAGCCATATGTAGTACAATTTTATTACCCTTTTTTCTGATATTAAATGAGTCTTCAACATCGGGAAACTATTTGAAAAAATAATTTAAATATAGATATGGACGTTGAATTCAACTTGAAAACTAAAAAAATACTTTTGATTAAATTGAAAGTCCCCCTTTTTTTTTTTTTTTTTTTGTATTCTCATTGCTTTCATATTGAAAAGAAGTTGGTTGGGGTTTTCAGTCAGTGAAAATAGGAAGTAAATATAAATAAATAATATATTATCATAGTTATAAACTTGTGTTATTTTTTGTTCCTGTATAAAAGTATTATAATTAATGGCATAAATCTATATTTTTAAAAATTATAATTCATTGATTGATTTTAATTAATTTAGAAAATTGAACAAAAAAGTATTTATTCCAATTACTTTGTTTTTCAGTTTTCTTTTTTAAACTACACACTAGGCAGTATGCCTCTTGTGCTATTAATTATGCCTATAGTAATATTCAGAATCAGGTGCTATTGCTGTTGAAGATTTGGCAATAGTGTAGCTTCTGAAGACATACAACTTTATTTAATTTATTAACTTTTAAAGAAGTTTAAGAAATTTCACAAATGATTTTTCATTTTTAATATTGTTTGGTGTAAAACGTACTATTTATTTCCAATCTGAATTGATCCAACAGGTTATTTAAAGTGTCAATTAAAAGGCACTTAACACTTTCTACATCATGTGTTTCTTTCTCTCTTTTTTAATTTAACTTATCACTATATACACTGACAGGCAAAAACTTCCATCCACTTGATTTTTTCATGTTTTCATCTAAAAATATTTTGCTTTGGATTGGTCATGGTATTTGCAGATAATACTTAGTATTTATGGAATTTTATAATCTTTTTTACCTTTAATAATCAAAATGTGATTGGGTAAGAAAGATTAGAGAAAAAAAAATTGAAAAACGAACCATTATTATTCTAAAAGAAATTAATTACATCATCGTTTAGTAGTGCGTGTTTCCTCCTCTTGCCTTCACTACTTCTTGAAGACACCTCGGCATACTTTCCACCAGTCGGGAAATGTCCCTTTGCTGGAGGATAGCCCATTCCTCCCGAAGATCCCTCTCAAGGTCCTGCAGTGTATCAGGAAGTGCTCTTATTCTTCTTCCGAGGTTATCCCATAAATGCTCAATGGGGTTCAAATCTGGAGAACGTGCTGGCCAGGCTAAAACCTCAATATTGTTCTGTTGAAGGAACGTCTGCACTATGCGGGCGACATGTGGGCGTGCATTATCCTGCATTAGAATAGAACGATCATCGATTTGGTTGAGGATAAGCAACACATGAGGTTCCAAAATCTCGTCTACATGGCCGTCAAAGACCCTCCACGAATAACAACGAATTCTGTGCGGCGCTCCATTGAAATCCCAGCCTACACCATTAAGGAACCACGTTGGAAAGGTTGGCTCTGGGAAAAATTACAGGCTGCATATCTTTCGTTTCTTCTTTTCCACACCCTTTCACGCCCGTCTGGAGATCGAAGAGTGAATCTTGACTCATCTGTAAAAAGTACAGCTCTCCATTCGTCCACAGTCCAATGGCTGTGTTCTCGACCAAAAGCCAGCTCTGTGACTCTGTGACTTCTGGTCAACTCTAATCCTCTTACTGGACGAAAAGCCAGTAATCCATACACATTTAATCTTCTCCGAGCGGTACGTTCAGAAATTTGCACACCTCGAACTTCTTCGAGCTGATGAATCGCCTGAACAACGGTAAGGTGCCGGTTTCGTAAAATTCTCAAAGTCAAAAACCGGTCATACCGTGGTTCTGCTACCCTAGGCCTCCCAGAACCGGGCCTATTGTATCTATTGTAAGATCTAAAAAGTAATGTTCTATTGTAAGAAACAATTTCCCGAAAACGCCTGATGGCGTCTTGTAAAGTTTCATATGGAACTCCGATAGCATTAGCTGCATATCTAATGGAACATCCATCATCAATAAGTGCCGAACCTCGCACAACATCCTCAGCACTAAGAGGCATTTTTAAACTTAATATTAATATTAAGAAAAAATTAAAAGCCGGAGACTAAGAAATGTGCTGCAAGAAACGGCACTGAACTAATGGTACTAAATAAACATTTTGATTCCATAGAAAGTAAACATTGGAATCTAGAATCATTTCATTGAATTAAGGATTAAGGGTTATTGTCCTCTATATTAACATTCCTAATTGAAAACAAATAAAAAGATTACCTATTTATTCATTAAAAACAATAGACCAATCCAAAGCAGAAATATTTTTAGATGAAAACATGAAAAAATCTAGTGGATGGAATTTTTTGCCTGTCAGTGTATAATATATAGTTCCAGAAAGTATTGTGATCCTAAAAATTTTCGAATCTGAATTTTCAATAGAAATACACGGTTTGAGTTCCTCTAAGTCCAAATAGTCAGTGTGTGGTCAAAAATCAAAAATGAAAAGTCATACGAAACTGGTATTGCGTATTTAAGATAAGTATATGCTTGAGATGTTACAGCAACTTTTTCTTGAAAATCGCCTAACCGTAGTGTCACTTTACATCACCAGTTTTGCACATTTTTATAATTTTCTCAAATACGGCTCTAACGATTTTAATTAAACTCAGTATGTCATTGTACAATGAAAGAATTTGATAATTGATTTAAGTAGAAAAAAGGACACATGCTTTTTAAAGTCAATATGGAATTTCTGGAAATAGTAATCATATGGTATACATATAATATATCATTGGAAAGCTGAGAGTTTTAGAAAAATTAGTATCTAACGCACAAAGTCGTAGAATATAATTAACTTTAACAAAAAAATTATAAATAATAATTTCTGAAAACTAATATTATTTAATAGAATATTAATACTTCATGTTTCCAAGGAAATTGAATGAAATTTCCTAACTAAATATAAACTTAAAATGATTTTTAAGTTTGAAAGAAATTATATAAAGTCCACTGAATCAATGAAATATTATTGTTTAAAAAACTATTTCATTGTACTTGTGTGAAAGAAGTGAAATACAAAAATACTTCATGAATGTGTAAAAGATATGTTTGTAACCTTAAATACATTTACTATAGTTTAATAACTCTAAATTTGATAATATATTTAAATAATTAGATATCTATCATCCGTTAATTTTGAAAAATCATTAACATTTTAGAAAATTAAATTAGTGAATAATTTCTGGTATTTTCTATCTGAAATCACAACATTATACACAATTAGTGTGGCAACATTTGACCCATCAAGGTGCTAGGCAATGAAAAACTCTATTGTAGTAAACTTTACTATGGGAAAATAAGAGTTTAATAACTAATAGTAGTACAATTCATAATAATTTATAGGTTAAATAAACAAACGTACTTTCAAATCTCTGTAGGCATATTATAGCCCAGAGACTGGAATTACAAGGTTTACAAAAACAGATTTTGGGAAATGATTGAGTGATTGAGTTACACATAACTATAAACAAATTGAGTTACAAGATTTTTATTGCCTACCATTGATATAATAAATAAGGTTTGCCTTATTTTAATGGCCTTAATGTGTTGTTAAAGATTAGCTGTTAGATTTAAGTATTAACTCCAGTAAAAATGGACTTCAAAAACTTTGTAATAGCCCAATTTTGCCACAAAATAATTTTTATTCAAAGTAGAGTAAGTGAAAGTTGTGAGGTGTTCACACCAGATTTTTACTTTCCCTTACCTATATATGAAATACATAGCAAGGGACAATATTGCGATCGTGAACATTTTTTGATCAGTTTTCAACGGAAATACATGATTTGAGGTCTTCTGAGTCCAAATAACCAAGTCCCACAAAAGGGCCTGTGTGTGTGTAAACAGTCTAGTGAAAAAACTAAAAGTCTTATGATAGTGAAATTACATCTTTAAGGTTCGTATATGTCTGGGATGCTACAGCAACTTTTTCATCAAAATCAACTAACTGGAAGTGGCACTTTATATAATCGAGTTTACACATTTTTACAATTTTCTCAAAAATTACTAACGATTTTGATTAAACTTGGTATATCAGTATATTATTAAGCAGTTTATGATATAATGTAGATTTTATACTCATTGATCTTCTCTAATATGGCTTAAATGGCTAATTTTCAATATTAGCTTGCTCTCAAGTACATTTAATTTTTTTAATTTAAAATAATTAACGATTTCACATTAATTTGTGATATAAAAAATAGTTAAATATAAAATATAAAAGAATTCGATAATTAACTAAAGGAGAAATAAGAGATCGTAACAGATAAGATAATAGTTGTAATGGAGGAGCCAAAGAAATACGAGCTCGCCCAAAAATTAGAATAAGCTTCCATACGTAATATTATCTTAATATTATACAGACTCCGACAATATTATGTACATATACATTTACAGTTTTCATAAATGCTATCGTTGGTATTATTTAATATTTAATTGAATAGATAACAGTGATATAAAAATTAAAATTTTATTTATAAGGGTAATTAAACAAATAAAAATACCTACAATTCTCCTTTGTCTGCAAATACTTATTTCTTATAAGAAGAGAGTGATGTATGTACCAGATTTTTTTTTTTATCAAATGATAATGAATAATGAGTTAACGTTATCAAAACATTTAGGCAATCTATTAATGCTGTTAAAATATCTTTTAAGCTGTTTCTCTTATAAGTGTTTGTTTGAGTCTAACCATTAACTGAAACTAATAATTTATTATAATGAATTTCTGATTTTTTTTTTTTTTTAAATAGAAATTTTCTCAATAGTATATAAGAAAAAAATTATATGAATCACAGTTGTTCAGGAGTGCCATTAACTACTACAATACAAGAATCAAATTACAAAGGATTTTTAAAAAAGTTATGCCATACAAAAATTTTTGACCTGTATATCATTCTGAAATAATTAAAAAAGCACATTTTTTTTTTAGTTCTTGTCAATTTTTATCCTCAAGTATGGTAAATTTTATGGTAAAAGTGACTACGGTAGTTTTATTTAAAGTGAATTAATTTTGAGGAAAAAAAAATAGACCTAAATTTTTTTTTTGGACCCAATACTTCCAAGTTATAGCTTGCTATTTGTTCAGAAAATTTACAAAACACGCATATTTTAGATGTTTTAGCCAATTTTGACCATGAAGAATCTGTTTTTCAGCTAATCTAACTAAACTGAAAAAAATAAGGGAAATGATGAGAGCAGAAACTGAATCATGACAAGAAATAATGTATTGATATATGAAATGGGAACTTGGATTCTGAAAGATTCAGACCAGTTTGCCCTAAGTATTTTCGAAAAGAAAATAATAAGGCTTTTATTTGAAATTGATTTGGTTCAGTGTGTTTGCCAAGGCACTTGGCACATTGGGAATAACAGGGACATAAGAAAGTAGTAAGACTTGTCAAATCGAAAAGAATAAGTTTACTTGGTCATATAGCGAGTTTACTGAATGAGCAGATGATTAGGAAAGTGATCAGAGAAGAGTTTCAGGGCAGGAGAGAAAGAAGGTGTCCCAAAACATTCTGGATGATAAGATGGGGAGGGAGACCTAGCCATGTTAAGAGTTAGTTAAAGGAGAAGAAAGGCACTGGATCAGGACAAATGGAAGAAGATTATAGAGGAAGTCGAAGTTCACTCTGAACTGCAGCGCAAGAAAAAATAAGTAACATGATAATTTTTCCTCTGTTAAACCTAATAATATTAGGTATGATAAAGCAGTTGAAGTTTAATGGGGAAGTTTAAGAATTTACATTTATCAAATTCTGAAGTTTTCTAAAATGAAAAATATCTCGTTAGGAATACCAATTTTTGTATCAAGGATAGACTTTCATAATACGAAATTAATATTATGTAATGTTAAGTATGTACATTGTGTAATTATATAATATTTCATAATTACATTTCTAAATTAGATAATTGTTGGTATTTTTAGAAAATATTAGCTTATTTTAAATCTCTTAGATTAATCAGTTTATCTGATATCAAAATTAGTTAATTTTAACTTGTTCTTGGAGGAGTCGTGAGAGGGCCTTCGTAGTTGATAATTTTGAGTATCAAACAATCTGTCCAGAACTTTTAGAGTCATAAGCATTGTATAGACAGATGTAAGGCTCAGGTAGTAAGTGTGTGTTTCATTTTAAGAATTCTATATCACTCAGTTTTAAATTAATGCTGTCTTGATTTATTTTTATTTGCTCTTTGTAAAGGGGAACATTCTTAATGGAATACGTAGGTGAAGTTTTGGATCATAAAGAGTTCAGAAGAAGAGCTAAAGAATATGCCAAAGAGAAAAATGCACATTATTATTTTATGGCATTAAAATCAGATACAATTATTGATGCAACTGTAAAAGGAAACATCTCAAGGTTCATCAACCATTCGTGTGATCCCAATGCAGAGACTCAAAAGGTATATCTTCTTTGGTTTTTTTTATTATTATTGGACTAATTAGGCAATATTTTGAATTTGTACTATTCAATTTTAAATTTTGCATTTTATTTAGTTATCTTTTGCTTTTTTTTTACTTTCACTTACCTATACATGAAATAATGTGGGTTAATTGCAAAAAGTTATTAAGTAATTAAAAGGTACTTAAAAAGCTTAGCTCAATTAAAAATGTACTTAGGACTTGTTGCAATAAACCGACAATCCATAATAAGGAAAATTATTGCAATTGTGAAAAATCCCAAAAACTAAATCTTGCAAAATGGTCTGGGTTAATGTGGACAACCTCATAAGAAACAAAAAGTTGTACAAAACTGAAATTTCATATTTAAGGTATGTATATCTCTTAGGGATATATGAGATGTTTTAATAAAAATGTCTAACTGGAAGTGATACTTTATATAACTTATTTTACAAATTCTTATAATTCTCTCGAAAAAGGCTTTAACAATTTGAATTAAACTCATTATATCGACATACAATTAAATGGTTTTTGATATCAGGTAGGCTTTATCCTCATTTAAATAGTCTGTCAGGATTTAAATGCCAAATTTTTTAAATGTCTACCTGCAAAGTTCTTTAATGTGATTTATTTGTATTAAATAACAGTCTTTCATGGTTAGTAATAATAAGAAATGGCTAAATTTTTTAGCCATATATAAAAAATTGTTTTGCACTATCATGGTGCAACACAATATCATTTTAATATGCTTCATTTTAATTAATTCTTGCCGTTTTTCTTATATTGATTTATCCACTTGACAGTTAACCTCTGATTTTAATTTCCTGGTTTCTTGGAAGTATTTCGAAAAACACTAACACTTCTCTTTAGTTGGCTTTGAATTGGTAACCAATTTTACGTATCTCAAGTTTTAAACTAAAAGCTTGAAAATAGCATAGCAGTATGTGTTAAAGTTAATTTACGCTAAAATTCATATCAGTTGAGGTCGCCAGATGTCAGGGACTAGTAAATGTAAATGTAATGCTTTTTGCAAGTTGTTAGAGAATCTACTGTGACAGTACTTAAAATTTCATCTATTCCATTTTAACTTGTCCACTCCAGATTCGAACTGACACTGTTAAACTGAAGAATGTCAAAGTGGACTACAATTAATCACATTTTGCCATCAAAACCTCAATCGGTCTTCTCACTAAAACCTGTATAAAACAACAATGTAGACGTATGTGTTCTGTTCCATATGCTATATTTTTCTTTTTTATTCTTTTTGTTTATCCAAAATTGAAGCCTTGTTTCTTGTTTTTTTTTTTTCTGTATCTCTTGAACTTATTTTTCGTGAGAGCTATTTATGCTAAACTAAAAAAACAATAAATGCAATGCTATTTGAACAGCATAAGTACTTTAGGCATTTGACAATAAATAAAGACACATTAAACATTTGCCCAACCCTCGTATTATGATTCCTCATTACACAGGCAATGTGTGTATATTAAAGCGCCAGTCAGCTGGAAATCCAGTTTCTTTTAGTGTACTGTTTCAGAAAGGTTTTCAGTAAAATTCCCTCAATCATGCCAGCCACTGGTAGCGTTTAAAGCAGCCTTAAATCTGTTTATAATGTCTTGTTACTGAAATACTAGAGTGAACAAGTGATGAATCCTAATGTTTTTGATTTTAAATCTGTATTTCATTTATGTTTTAAGCTATCCTATTAATTTGTGTTAGTCATACATTTTTTAGGTTTTTAAATGTAAATATTTAGTTTATGGTTATTTTTAATTAATTACATTTTAAAATTAATAGCTTTTTCTTTTAAAGGCAAGTTAAATAAACATTTTTAATTTCTTTTAAATTAAAATAAATATAAGTATGCAGAATTTGATGAAACTGACACTCAACATTTGTACACCAGTCATTTTTGACTTAAGATCAAATCGGATTTGCTGATTTTGAAATATAGGTATGTCAAGGAAAATATGTTAATGCATAGCTAAGTGAAAATAGCGGATGGAATTCTATAAAATTGATACTGAGTAATTTTTACTCTGGATAATCCCAAACTTTTCTGTTACTTTTGGCCAAATCAGAGGAGCCGTTTTCATAATATATAATTGCCAAGGATAGTACATACTTTCTGTATGTAATGCATAAAATTGATGAAATTGATACGGGACAATCTAGGTACTAACCGCAACAAACTCTGAAAATGATAAATTATGATTAATCGTAGTAATAAATTTACTTCCATTAACATAAATTTGACTACCAATAAACATGGAATCAAAATAGTTTATTAATTTAATGGATTTGAACTTGAATGGATTTGATACTGAAATTTTTATTTCTGATGATTAATTTTTTTTTTATCCCTATGAAGTTTTGTATGAATACAAAACTTCTTTTCTATCTTCTGCAGTGAAGAATCATGAAAAAACAAATGATAAAAGCCTTTTTTCAATTCCCAATTCCATAGTGCATTATAATTCTGTGGTGTTTTGATTATGGGATACAAGTAATTTCTTTTTGACAATAGGTTCGTCATATTTAGTTTGTTTTTAATAAATAAGAAAAGGATATAAGTTTATGAAACTGTTAACATGGAATAAAAAATCTTTCATTGACTTACTTCCTTTTCATCAAAGCAACAGTTTATTAAAAACAAATAAAATATGATTCAAGCCCATGGTAGAAAAAAAAAATCACTTACACATTCTTTTGCCACAGAATTATAATGATCAGAAAAAAAAATAATTCAATGAAATATTAATAATGCTTTTAATTGTTTATATTGAGTATTAATTTTGTTTTTAGTGGACAGTTAATGGTGAATTAAGGATTGGTTTTTTTAGCAAAAGACCAATAGCTAAGGGCGAAGAAATAACATTTGACTATCAGCTTCAAAGATATGGGTATGTCTCTTTGTCTAAATTATTATAATATTAAAATTTATATTGATATAAAAAAATATTTTAATGATTTCATTCCAAAGGGCAAAATTTGTAAGATTCCTGTGATGTATCTAGATATTTGAATAAAAGAACTTATAAATAGAACTCATTATTAAAATCCACAGAAAAAAGTAATATGATGAATTTATATGAGGTGCTGTACTTGAATATTTTCAGTGCACCCTAATAATGACCCACATGTTTGGGTTGAAACGTCGGTACTAATAAAAACCTTTAAAATTACTGGATCCTGACTATTTATCACCTATGATTTGTAGAATAGTCGACAAACTTCCTTCAATGAATTTATATGTTGCATTTAATATAACTAAGATAATAACACAATTTAATTAAATCCTGACTTTTTTTTTTTTTTCTTCCCTACCTCGCCTTTTAGGCTACACGGAAATTTCCCGGGCCAGGGGCTGAAAGCCGGTAGAATTTAAAATCCCCTCTGTCACTGGTACTCAAACTCGTACTTTTTAATCTTTCATAACTTCGGTTATGTGGTTACTGGGCAATGGTGGGGAAGGGGGGGGGGTGCTGTGCACACGTGTTAGCCAGTTCGGCCACTCTGCCCTCAATGACCTCTTACTACACTCGTAATATATGTCTACCTTACTGTTTTATTTTCCTCTGTCTGCCTAAATCTTCTAGCAGATGTCACACTCCCTTCCTCTCCATTCTAATAACATAAAATAATTGTTTAGTCTATTCATCATACATAATTTGTTTGGGAAGTTAGTTATAGACTGCAGTCAATGGAAAAAAAAAATGAAATATCTCACTGTCTGCCATTCCCAACTAAGTTTCCAACCATATTGTCTACAGCTAACTATTTCTTCATCATTATGAAGAATAGCAATTCTTTAACAAAAGAGTCTCTTACGCTCATGAATACCAACCTTGATGGCAGTTTCCTTCTTTCCCTTTTCATGAACTCTTTGCTATCTTTTCACTGTAGCATCCGCATCATTGTTCTCCTCTTGACCAAAGGGATATTTAAACGGGCCATATTTTACTGCAATGTTGATGTAATATACCGTGATGTTAATGAAATATTTACAAATGGCCCAACCATGATCCTGGATGATTCATGTCGGAGTTGCCAGTATTGTCCAGAGTTGATGGGAATTATTTCATGTAGTACCAGCCTCTTTCCCTATCTCTACCTGCTTTCTGCTCAGTCTTTCCGATTCTCTCCCTTCCTTTCTTTCAGTCTTTAACATGCCACGATATTGTTATTGTATTTTAGTAATAAATTGTGAAATATTGTCAACACTTCTTTTATTTTTGATTAACTTAATTTATTTACATCTTCAGTAATGCTCATATCTATATTTCCTGTTAGCTGATAAATCCATAATTACCCATATCACTCCTATATTGTCCTATCCTCTGATCTATGATTTTAATAGCATCTTAAAATGATATGTTTTCTCATGATTCTTCATTCCACATACAAACTGATCTCCAAGTTATTCCTTATTATATAAGTTCTTTTTAAACAGACTACAAAATTTGTTGTTTCCAATACTAACAGAAATATACTGTTGATTTTGTGTTTCTCCAGTAGGGCTGAAGATTTTAGATTTAGGTGTTAGACATTAAGGAAACAATGTATTTAACTTTAGACCAATTTATTTATTTATTTTTTTTTGTTTTGCTTCACTAAATTCTGAATAAAAATATAATTTTCTATACTTAACTCCGTAAGCAACTCTGGTACATGTTTACTTCCTTTAATATCATGATGATGAAGAATAAAATAGAGTTTCAATCTTTCAATCAATCCTCAGAATTAGCTGTTCAATTTATTCTATAGCTTTTCAATACATTTTCTGTGTTCTTTGATTGGTTGATGAGAAGTAGAATATTTTGAATTGTGTCAATATTTATGTCTATTCTTATGTTATGGAGGTTATAGTTATTAAAAATAGTATCAATATTAATATAAATCAATAAATTATCAATTTATTAAAATATATCAGATTTATTCCATATTTGGGATTTATCCACTATTATGTTGTCAGAGATGTTTTTAATGAAAATATTATTGAATTTAAGAATGCGCCACCGTGCATTAATTTTTTGTAACTTTTCGGGTTTAATCAATATTAGGGTCCACTATTATGTTGTCAGGGGACGCTTATTATGAAAATACTGTCGAATTTGATATTGCGCAACCACGCATGAAGTTTATGTAACCAAATCAATTTTATTTTTAAGCAAGTTAATGGTACAAAATTTTGAAATGTCATTTTATGAAATAAAAAATAAAAGTAACATTAGATAGAAAAAGATAAATTGTAAAATTTAGAATGTTCAATTAAATTATCGAGAAAAAAAAGAAAGAGAAGAATTCCTATATTAGAACAATGTTCACAGATCCAATCAACTTTCTATAGTTTATACAACAGCTCTTGATGTAACAACAAAGAGTAAAGACTGAAGCGGAGAACAAAGTAGTGAAATATGAAAAATAGGGTGTCATTATTAAGAAGCCAAAAAAACGTCAACACAACGGACTCGTTTGTTGGATTATCGTTATTACAATGTCGGCATGGTTAAATCAGTTATCAATTAAGAAAACAGAAACACTTTTAAATTGAAACATTTATCATTTTTATAAAAATTTGGTTTATTCAAAGACTTTTTTACACCACTGTACTTACCAAAAAAGAAAGTAGTCTTATACTTTTTTTTTTTTTGTAACCTCTCTCTTTCCCAAAACCCAACCACGATAAAATGAAAGTATTTGTTAGCCAATTTTATCCCTCCTCTGACTTCCCCTTCTCCCCAAACATTTTCGTTTGAAGTTGGCCGGCAGGTACTCAGATCTTCTAACATAAATTAGCTAAATCTTTCCGTAACCTTATTGCTTACAAAATGTGTAAACATAATCTATTTCCATGCAACCATTACTTTGAGTTTAACTGTGAGAAAAGACCAGTTTCTGAATCTATTCACATCGACATTTGAACCAATCTTTTTTCACTTGGATGTAAATGGTTTTGTAGAGTCAGTAATATAGAATTTATAGAAGATATTATGCAATTGACCTATTATTGCCGCTGACCCTGTTGCCTGATCATCAAGTTGCTATCCAGCCTAATTTATTAATATCTAAAAATCTTTACCTTTACAGCATTATTTTGCCACTTGTTTTATGACTTCTGAAATTTGGGCAATATTCATTTAATTGTCCTCTCATGACAAGTATTGTTTTATTAAATTAAAATACTTTATTTCCAGAAAAGAAGCACAGAAATGCTATTGTGATTCAAGAAATTGTCGAGGTTGGATTGGTGAAGATCCTGACAAAGAGAAAGATCGTGAAAAAAAAGATTGGAGTAATAGAAAAGAAAGAAAAGAGAAAAAAAGAAAAGAAGAGAAGAGAAGGGAATTGCGAGAATTCCTAAATGATATGGATGTAAGAATAAGAACTGTTAATTTTGGCTTCTTTCAATTAGTGAAACATCTATGGTTTTGTTTATAGTTATGTTATTTTAGTTTCTTAATAAAGAGATATTTATTCATTTAAGGATTATTTTATAATATGACTAATTTAACATTTTAGTAACTTCTCTAATGCAGTAATTTTTTTCGCATTTGTTTGATTTACTTAATTTTTTTATTTAAAAATGATCTTAGCATATTTGGGATGCTTAAATATTTATTGTTTGTATTCTAAGAGGAGGAGAAAAATATATTAGGCTTTATAATTACATTTTCATTGTTCCTTGGATAGGTTAATGTGTATCAATTATGTTGCTTGATAATTATTTTAAATTAAAAATTATTTTATTCTTCCTTTTTAATGTCAGAATACTATTTTTTGTCAGGTTTGCTCCGCAACTGATGGGTATCAAATTTCTTCTCTGTTTTGCATACTTATTTTTGGGCAATTTTATGATTTTATATTAATTTAAAAATAATTTAAGCAACGGAATCTCATTGATACTTGGTTACATTTAAATAAATCTGTGATCATGATTATGAATACCAAATTTTTTAATATTCCTTGGTGGTTTTGGAGTTGTAATAAATTTTTCTTATACTGATTAATGAGCGCTTCAACTATAATGTTTTAGTTGAATAGTCATTTAGTCACAGTAAAGCTTGTTAGTTGTTTGTTATTAGCCATTTTTATATTTGAAGAATAAATTTATGAATTTAATAGGTTGAAAGAATTGTCACAGTTTATTTTTTGGTTTATTTCTGTTTTAACATCTAGTATTTTTTTCATGTAAGGTGATTCATACCTTCTTTCCTAGAACCTCAGCTCAAATATCTGCTCAAAGTCAAATTTAAAATAGAAAAACATTTTGATCTATTTGAAATGTTGTTTTTAGTTCCATTTAAGCCTCAAAATAATTTTAAACTTTTTCTAAAACTGCTAGTTTAAGTTTAATTGTTTTACCTGAACTTTTAATTTATAAAATTACCAGTTTAAGTTTAACTGTTTTACATGAACTTTTAAATTAAGATTTTAATCTCAAACACATTTTTCACATTTAAATGTGAACTTTAATTATAAAAACTTGATAACAGTATCACAAAAAGTTCTTTGAAGAATATTTATTATAAAAGTTTCTTTGTTGAAGTTCTCAAAAGAACTTTTACTATAAAAGTTCTGCCCTAAAAATTCTTCTAAGTAGTTAATAATAAAGAGGTCTAACTAAAAGGTTTTCACAAGGGGTATTTGAAAAAGATCATGTTTTAGCAAGGTTTTTTTCTCAACGCTTGTCATTGTTACTATAAGTTTGTTATGTCCAACCCAGGGGGATCTTCAAAACTATCCATCATTTCTTATAAAAAAAAGTGGCCAATTAGAGAATTTACACACCCATATTTTGGCAATTTTTGAAGGAAGATTAGACTATAATAAAAAAAAATTTGAAGATGTTACTTTCTCACCACTAAATATGAACTGTATGTGTAAAATATGATTATTTCTTGACTAAGAACTTGAGTCTGGTGTGTTGGTTTATCACAAAAGTCATTCTAAAACATTGTTTTCTTAAATATTTACTGAACTGAATTAATTAGAAATTAATTTTTAGTGTTGTTTTTAAAAATAAAATTAAAATTAAAATCTCAAAATCAAAAGAAGTTTATAGTAAAATAAATTTACTAAGATCATAAATTATCATGCAGAGCTTTTTAATCATAATGTATTTTTAAAAAAATTAATTTAATTGATTAACATATATAACAGATTTTTGTATTAAAATGGGAGTGGTTTAATTGTATAAAGTAAATGACTAGATTCTTATCTCCTGTAGCTTGGTTGTTGAAAATTCAATTCATATCCTATCAGCTGGGGGAGGAAGGAAAACCCCATATAACCTAAAAGGCGAGGAAGGGGAGGACAAAAATAAAAGCATAGATATATATCCTATCAGTTATGAATTGACTCTAGGGCTAGGGTACATTCAGACTCAATAAAGTTGATTCTGATTCTTTTAGATTAGATCTTATGGGGTGAGGTGGCCGAGCCTTGCCCGGCAACATGATAACCTAAGTTAGAAATAGAAAAATAATTATAAGTTTGAATTCTGGTATCCGGTGCGACATTTAACTATAATTCCTTGGTCCGGGAAAACCCATGTGTAGCCTAAAAGACAAGGAGAAGAGAACAAAAAAAAATAATTAGACCTTTGGATCGATGAAAAAATTATCCCAATGTCGTCAGTGTCTGTGATGAGAAGTTAATAGATCCGGCTATCTAATTCTAACTCAAAAGGTTTAGATCGTTGTTAGTCAAGGCAACAATCGTTGTTAACAATTCTTCATCCTTCGTAACAAGTGATAATATAGCAAGTTTATGTTAATTTAGAAAAGACTTAAGTTGATTATTTATGTATTGATAGCAGCCTGTTGGTTATTATACAGGTGTTATATAATAATAACTTATTGTATAAAATATTTATAGGAGTGATAGCAGACCTTAACAGCTACAAAAAAGTTTATGTAAGCAATGGTCAGATTTTCGGTAGAGAAGTATAAAATTAAAAATTTTTTAAGTGTCGCGTTTTTTGTTGAACAGGAAGCTTTAATTAAAGAAATATTTAACTAAAGTTATTAAAAATTGCTTCACTGTGAACTAGACAAAATTTACTTCAAATGAAATTAGAGTTTGTCATTGTTAAAACCATTTAAAGAGGACTTTAACACTTGAAGTAAATTTTAACTTGAGGAGCAATTTTTGCTTACTAAAATTAATTAATTTTTAGTTATCGCTTCCTCAAGGAATAAATTTGGGTTTATATTTATCATTAGTGAAGTATTTCTTTTTTCTCTCCTACCTTGCCTCTTGCTATATGGGGTTTTTCCTAGAGCACGGGAGAGGGCAGGAGATCAATGTCAAGAGTTAAAAGTCCCACACCAAGGCTTGAACTTGTAATCTTCAGTTTATCAGTTTGTCAAGCTACCTGTTTGCGCAAACTATTGTCAGGCAAGTGTGTTTTGCATATAGGTTTACCCATAGGCCACTCTGCCTCCCTCTTTTGTCAAATTTATGTAAACAACCTACTCTAACAACCTACTCTTGTTGATCCAATTTTGAGGAAATATTCAGGGATCATAGAGGTTGTACATAAATGGTTTTATATAAATTTCAGCGTATTCTATTCAGTACTTTTGATTAGGCATGGGTTTAGTCTGTGGGCCAGGCCCCCCTGCCATGCACCCCTACACATCCCTATAAATTGCATATTTTTATGTTCCTTGCAACCATTTATTAAAAAAAAAGCCAATGTTCCCACAAAAAAAAGTGAACCCACTGCCCCAAAGATGGCGGACTGATGACTTTGACTTGAGTTAGTTTTTTTGTCACTGAGAATCAGCATTTGGCTTAATTTTGTCATAATTGGCCTTTTATTAAAGCTGGATAGTCAGAGAATAATAAAACATGAAACAATATTAAAAAATAATTGGCTTAGGCATTAAAAAACACCAGTAAAGTCAATTTTTTCAACGACAAAATTTTCAAGTTGAAAATCAAGCATCGTTTGTAATTAAATGGCCAAGACTAACTGAAAACGTCTTGGAATAAAATATCTGGGGAATATATCTCTTCCTATAATATATATATTTTAACTTTAGAGGATAATATTCAATGTTTTATAGCATTCATAATATTTAAAAAAACAGGCAAGTTTGGTTTGAATTATGTTTTTTATTCATCAGTCTTTGTAATAGTTATTAATCAATATTTTAAAAATATATATATTTCACCTCTTTTTTTTTACTTCTTTATTTGGGGGAGAGGGGATAGTCAGGACAGTAATTTTGTTGATGGCAAGAAAAAGCCACAGAGAATCAGACTGATGGATTATTGTAGTATTTTTTTTATGATTATAGACCTTATTTATAGACTAACTAAATAGATATGACACTTCTATTATAATAAGTTCACTACATTTTCAAAATATTATACCATAAAACAACTGCCATGAGATCTTTTATACCTCTTTTAGGCTACTGGTAATGGTGGTAAATGTAGTTAAGTAGGTGGGCCTTTTTTAAACCACTGATGGCTAATTTGACGTTGCCACTCCATACTAATCAGAGTACAAGTGTCAAGATTCAAAGATTTATTTCACTGAACCACTGCAAAATAGATATTAGCTGACCCAAGTGAAAATCAAATTTGCACTGCCCCAGCGTGTTTGGCCACTACAGTCTTCCTCTTCTTTATCGGTCTATATATTAATGTGATTTAGTGACTTTGAGACCTGATAATGCCTGAATTGACTAAATGTCGATTGATTAATTGTTAACTGCTCTTTACTACCACAGATAGCATAGTTATATTTTTTTGTAGTATATTTAATTTATGCTCTGATTATTTATATTTATACTAAGCATAGTTATCCTTAGCTACAAAAAAATGTAACAATAGGCATAAAATAGATCAAGGTATGAGAAATAATGAATTTATACAGTTCAAGTAAGAAGGCCTTCTTTAAATAAAAGTTACAATGGGAAATTATAAATTCATCCTATAAATGGTGTTTTATCAAGTAGCAATAATAAACATGACCTTAAGCTCTAATTAAGAATTCCACATTTATAATAAAAAAAGTAGTTGTCCATATATGTGCTTTTATTCTTCTTAAAAACCTTTGTAGTTAGCATACCAGGAACTAAACTATTTCATAAAAATTTTTGAAAAAAAAAAATGTTCACCCCTTCCTTGAAATATAAGGTTTTATGTTTCAAGAAACGCAGAATCCCCCCCCAAAAAATAATAATAATAAAGGCTATTTGTTCCCTGTACTCCATTTACTGCTTTTCTGATGCCTTTTACATTACCATCTGATGCCATTTCATTTCATTATGGGGACTGATTGGAAATGGTGTATGTTCATATCTCTACTAATTATAAAGATATGGCAAAACTATTAAGTGTTTTTTGAGCATTAT